TCTTTTTATTTTTTTTTTTTTTTTTTTGTCCCCCCCCCCCCCCAAAAAAAAAAATAACTGCTGATGGTGAAAACCAAACAGTGTTATCAACAGACTCGCACACTCAACAAAGGGGATTTTGCCATTTTCTGATGTCAATGAATCTGAAATGATTCTCTTTCTGGAAGTAATCATACAAATACATACTTATGAATCAGACTAATGGACTATCGCATCACAACGTAACAATTGTATGTGCCCATTTATAGCAACATTATAAAGAAAGGTAAGTCCTCCAGTATCGCACTTTGGCGATAAGAGCTTGGAGGCTTATGGAAAAATAGGCATGAATTTACAGAAATGTGTGGACAAAAATTACTTCTTGTACTACTACATGAAGGTGCAGTTATGGAAATACCAAAAACCTAATTTTCAAACAACAAAAATTATGCAATCTAATTATAAAGCTATATTAACATTTAAAATGTTCATTCTGTAATTTCTTTAGATAAAAATGCAATTGATTTAATGAATTTTACTTGTAACAATACTTATGTTTCTGTTACTGCTTGCATTACTTTTAAACATCCCACCAGAAAGAGCATTTACAACTAGAACTACTAATTAATTAAAATCCCGTTGCTTGAAGGTTCATGTGCGAAATTAATCTTCTGACTGTCCTTTAGTGCCTTAGCTGTTTGACCCCTTTATAATAAGCACTATGTCTATGTTCCATAACATAATTTTCTTATCTTAATCTGTTGAGTTTTGGTGCCAGATGATACACTGAACTGAGAGTTTAAGTACCTACAACATATTTTATCATAAAACGAGCCTTGAACGTCACATGAGTAGTTCAATTCACATGTCAAAGTCATAATCTCTCTTTTTCCTAAAGTAATCTTCAAAAGAGTGTAAATAAAACCATGCATGGAAGTCTGTACAAGCAATCCTTACACTATAAAGTGGGGGCAAATAATAACAGGCTGGAGCATGATGTGGGAGCAGTGCTCAGAATATTTAAATTTTACTCAATCAAGGGCAAAAATTGCATGAATTTTGAAATGGAATAACTTCCATGCTTTTCGGTGAACTGGAACAAAATTTGGAATGTGAATTCCCTATAGATTCTAGATTATAAATATGCAATTTACATTAACCCAAAAATGTTTTTTGTGTGGTAGACTTCAAGACACAGAGTTACATCAGTATACAGTTTCTCTTCTCGTCATGCTTGCTGCAGACAACACACCAATCTGTTGGCTTAGATTTCTTTCCTGTGATAGGCATTCTTCTAGGAAAACAACATATTGTTTATTCTGAAGGTTTCTGATGAAGGTATAATACAATCTGGATTGTTGGGTTTTTGGACATTGTACATTGTCTGATGTTACAAAATTACACAACATTCTGAGAACCGCATGTCTTCATCCTCAGGTGTGGTGTATGGGAAGGGAAGCAGTGCACTGGTGCCCTGCCCTACGCAAAGATATCCTGGTCATCACCACCCAACAGCATCTTCATTCACAAACTGCTGCCTGATAAATTCCATTTGAGGGGCACAAAGTGGTTAAAATTTGAGACTGCCAACTTGGGACTGTGCAGAACGCTGCAACACCTCCCACTCACGCTGCCGGAAGCGTTGGTGGGTAATACATCTCATCACTACATCTATGAAACTCTCCAGTCTTGCTGCCACTTCAGTTTAGTGTTCACACAAAGACCTAGCATGCTCTTATCGCTGTTCAAATAAGTATTCATAGGCCTCTACAACTGCTGGTAAAATGCTTCCACTTATGAACACGTACCTTGTGCTAGGCCTGCATACATCTTACTTTTTTAACAACTCTCACGATCATGTTCTCCTTGTCAGGTCATTTCACTTCAAGACGCATGATAGCTCTATAATTCTGCAGTCCTGTTCTCTCACTTTCTTGGATATACTCTTCCAGTCTGAGATTATCACAGTGGTGAAGACGCCAATGTCGGTCTTCTGCAATGTAACACCATGTAGACTTGCAGGTAGGCATCAATGTACCAGAGGAACTTAATACTGGAGAAAACGGGATACAATAAAATTGTACAACAGTTACAAATTCAAGGCCAATTATTCAGTTAAAAGTGACATATACAACGTTCTCATTGAATTATGCCCATGGCACCAGTAAGGCTAATTAAAATGTGTTCAAATTCTCTAAAATGTGCCATTAGGAACGTTTGAGAAAATAAATAGGGATCGGAATCGAATGAAAAATATCAGCTCTTTTCTGATGATGTTGATTTATCACCTAAGTAACTAACTAGATGGCTTACGGAACCTGAAGGTTCATCGCCGAATTAACCAAAGCCCTCCCCCGGTCCCTGTCCTGGCCCAACAAAATCCAGTTTCCTTCAACTCCTATCTCCCATAGATCCTGCTTGATATTACCCTCCCATCTATGTCTAGGTCTCCCAAGAGATCTCTTTTCCTCACGCATCCAATACC